GCTCTCATTGACACCCCAGTCTTTGTGCTGGGAACGCGCCATTCGGAGTGCTCCAAGCAGAAAGACAAATACGCAAATATGCGGCCCCATGGAAAAAAAAAACAGTTCTGTGAGGCTGCATATTTGTGTGACATCGGTGTCAAGGGGTTAAAGAAGCTGTATAGTCAAAAAATATTTTAAAGGATTGCTTAGAGGTTAGTGTTATTGTCAAAGATTTTTGTTTAGTTATTGAAGCATAAATATATATATTTTTTTGTTTTTTTTAACACCTTTAATTTGGTTATCCACACCTATCGGGCTAACATCCACATCCTCCTATCTTTGCTGCTGGCAGGTATGCAGTAAATCATATTCATGGGAAGTAAAAGGAGAGGCTGTAGAGAGTACAGTCAATGGAGAGAATTGAATCAGAGGACAACTAATAGTTTGCGAGGCAGAATGGATAGTGATCATTACTGGAAATAAATGATTTGCTATGGTTAAAACTGAAGTGAGAATTCTGGGGAAGAATAGTTTTAATACAGCTGACCCATCTGGATTCAGCATATATGGGGTGTAACAATTTAATTCCCGTAATGGACTGTTAAAAAAAAAATTAAAAAGTTTGCTTACCTATACACTAGTGTCTGTTGTCACCTTCACAGTAGTCTTTGTGAAGCAACACACTTTTCTAGATGACTGCGCCACCGCAGGAAACATTCATGGAATTTGTTTTCAGGAACGCTGCACAGTATCTTTTTTGCGTCATACTGGATGTCTAGAATATCATCAAATCTGTGTCCTTTTTAAGGAATTTTTTAATTTTGGAAACTGCTAGAAGTCGCAGGGTGTTAAGTCAGAAGAGTAAGGTGGTTGGTCAAGTTTCAGACTGGATTTGTGAGCCAGGAACTCATGAACACTTAACACATCGTGTACAGGAACATTGTCGTGGTGGAGAATCTAATTGTCAGGCCAGAGTTCTGGTCTTTTCCTCCAAACCGATCCCTGTAACCTTTTCATTTTCCATAATTGCATCCACCCATTGCATTTTTCTCTGCCCACTTCTTGCATCATTGTGGACATCCTCCTGTCCCTCCTTACGCTGCCTATGCCATTCAAAAACATTTGATTTCTTCATGGAATGTTCATCAAAGGCTTGTTGTAACAGAGCTGAAGTTGAAGTTGCACTCACACATTTGCCAATTTTCACACAAAATTTGATGTTAATCCACTGCTCCAGATTCCTATCACTCGTTTTCTGCCAACAGCCCAACAAACACACGTTCTTTCTTCTACTCTGCGAAGACCGAGTCACGAATGTGACCCAGGAGGGTGCAAGTTAGAACATGTCGGAACACGCTCGAACGCCCGTCAACACCATAATACTATGATGTGGGCATTCCAGGAATTAAATTGTCACCGCTTGTAGATCATGATAACAGAAATACACTGAGGGTAGCAATTTATCCAATTCCCTCCTATAATATGTATTTTTAAAACCTAAACTCCAGGGACAAAAATGTTGTTTTAAAGATCTTCCTCAATAGCCACAGAGGGTATAAATCTACTTTGTGTGCAGCAAATCTAGATATTACCTTGTACAATTAGCAGTGACATCTATGTTCTGCACAGGGCAGGACTTTGAGAGGGCCCCACAGGTCTACCCACTACAGGCTGCCTACGGGAAGCCACAGGTTAGATACAAGATCAGCCACGCTGCACAAAGACAGAGAACAGCAGTAATCAGTCTTTATGACAGAAAACTCCGCACAAAGTACAGGAGCTGCTTCATGCTTGATTACTGCACAAATTTGGAAGAAATGCACAAATGACATCACGGTTCAAGTGACAACACTAATGGCTCTTGTATTTAGATAATAATTGTTTAGCCTAGAATTCAGCAACTGCAAGATGTTTGCGGGTTTCACTTTCTTTGCAAAAGCTGCCATTTTTATATACTTCCCCACCATTTCAGTGGTATTTAAATCAAGGTTTTGACTAAGCCAGGCCATAACCCTCCGTTTCTTCTTATTGAGCCAATCCTTGCCTAGTTTGCTAGTGTGTTTTTGAATCATTATAATGTTGAAGGATCCATTTTCGGTTCAACTTTAGCAGTTGGACAGATGGCTTCACATTCTCATCAAGCACGCTTTGTTATGATACAGAACTCATAGTTGATTCTGATTGCAAACTGCCCTGGCCCTGAAGTAACAAAGCAACTCCAAACTGTAACATTTCCACTACCATGCTTTACAGTTGGTATGAGGTTTTCCGCCTGAAATTCTGTCTTCAGTTTGCGGCTAACATGAATACCTGTAGCCAAATGGCGGTACCTGTAATTCATCAGTCCAGAACACATTGTTCCAGAAGAACTCTTCTTTGCCTATATGTCCAGTGCAAACTGTATTCTTGCTCTGTATACAAAAATGCAGCTCTATTAATATATCATGAATGGTATTAATGAGACACAGTCCAGTAAAAGGTGCTCGTTGATTCCCGGTGCAAATGATAGAAATACGCACTAACCAGAAGCGTATAGGTAATACTCATGTGAATAAATATCCTGAAGATTCCCCTCTCCTTTCTGGTCTGGTCACGGCTATGCTATCATAGGCTATGCTCTACCTCTGAAGAAGTGTGTGCGCATGCAACGCGTCCGGTGGAGCCCAGGACGCCGTTGACACTATGCCGCTGGTGCCACGTGGAGGCCCGGCGGCCAACTTGGTATTTAAAGGGTCAGTGTGTTCACGCATACTTGGCACCATTGTGTTTTATTATGCACCCATGCTTTTCTAAATAAAGTCAGTTACCTACTACACTATGAGTATTTCCCTGTGTCTCCTGCGAGGAGCTTCTTCAACCTTTACAGCCCCGAGTGATTTCTGTGTCAGCTCCTGAGAGGGGGAACTATATCTTGGTAGAGATTTCTCTGACCTGCAGGACCACATCTTCACCACACGAGGGCGCTTGATCTTCATTCGTTCCAGCTTTTTCCGTGATCAGACCAGAAAGGAGAGGGGAATCTTCAGGATATTTATTCACATGCGTATTACTAACTATACGCTTCTGGTTAGTACGTATTTCTATCATTTGCACCGGGAATCAACGAGCACCTTTTACTGGACTGTGTCTCATTAATACCATTCATGATATATTAATAGCACTGCATTTTTGTATATATTTATATTTCTTGGGACTTTTATGTGTTTTTTCCTTGAATGTTCAGCTGCTAATTATTGAGAGCGCTCACTATATTTTTACAATTTTCCTATATTCTTGCTCTAGTGTTCTCTTTGGACAGCAAGAGCTTTTTCCTGACACATCTCCCATGAAGGTTAAATTAGTGCAATCTTTTTTTGGACTGTATATAGATGCCTGCACCAACTGATCATCACTGATGCATCAAGCCCAATCATTAGTAGAAAGTAAGAGCTGTCTTTGACAGCTCAATTCACAGTGAGCAGGCAATCAGCACAGAAAGCTCTGCAGCTTATAGGACACGTGTGGCACATGGATGTTAAAGCCCACCCTCTTCGCTGTCACATATATGCATTACCTGGGTGGCAAGAGGTTAATCTCTTCATGATGACACCACACACGTCAATAGAAAAACTAACACCAGGCCTAGATATCTGAGGTTTATTGTTAATGATGGCAATAAAGTTAAGTGGAAGAAAACGGTAAAAAAAAAAATATAGGTACACCAAATAAATAATGAAAAAAAAAAAATTTTAAAAGCCCTCTGCCCCAAAGTATACACCCATACAAATGTAAACTATGGACAGTTTTGGGTATTCTAGTTTGTTGCCTTTTTTTGGCGCACACAATTGGCACATGTATGGCTTGACATGTTTGGTATTGATTCGCACTGCAGTTTTATTCAACCCCCAAGTGACATTCAATCTTTAGTACACAGATACTTTTACAGTTTTAACAGCTTTTACGTGAAGAATAGCTTGACCACAAGTGTCTCTGCTTAGCGATCTAAGGGTATCTCGCCCATTCTCATGGGCAAAGGCTCACAGTTCAGTCATACTCGACTCAACCTCATCATTTTTTAAAAAAAAAATTATTTTTTTTAATCAAAAACGTGTAATATATTGTGGTGTTATGCATCAAATTTACCTTTTAGTGTTTTTAGTGTGTTGTTTTTGTTACTGAAAATATGGGTTTGATGAACATTTGTGTTAATATCATTTGCCATAAAAAATTGCAACTGACACTATTTTATTCTACAGGAATCTCTGCTTTTATTTAAAACAATATATAAAGTTTGAAGATATAACTTCTCTTCTGGCCTAAAATGTGTGCAGAAACCGCTCTGGTAGTGAAAGGGTTAAAGCTACATTTTGTTTTGGCTTTTATGGGCAAAGCAACAGGTTTTAGGAAGATGAGTTGGTACAGTAATAAAGCATGATACAAAGGGAGTATGTAGGGCATAAATACAATATGAACTTGGCTGTTTACAAGAATGGATTCAGATTTTATGCAGCCTGTTCATTCTAACCTTGCCTCAGAGCTTTGTTCAGCAGGAAGCAGTGTTTTTCTGTGTAACAATAAAGGTGAAAAATGATCTTCTGTACCATCAAGGACTCTATATAGTCCCTATTCACTGTTGGCAGTCTGCTTACACGTTTCCACAGAGATCAAAAGATAAAATCTCAACTCAGTATTGTGTATTTTGGCTGTCACAGCCCCTTTACAGGGAAGCTATCCATTCCATATTGCTTTCTCAGCATCTTGCTGACAGTCTGCCAGTTCCATCATTAAACTCTAATCTCAAGCATTCACAACAGTTTTCTGCATGTCGTTAATATGAGAAACAACAGAGCAGATCCTAATCGCGTCTCAGCCTGTCTCTTCTGTTTTGCAAAGCCTTGGATCAGTGATTACTTTAGCAATTTTGTCCTGTGCTTCCTTTTTCCTCTTGAATAGATGCACTAGTCACCCTAGAGAGTTTACTCATGGATGGCAAAATGCCCACCCGCCCCACAGTGTGTAGACTCACCGAAGCTTTCGCCATGAGAGGAGATTTGGCCAGCCTGGAAGAAATGGAAGCGATAACGACCAGGAGCAGCGTACGGTTGAATTATTTGGACACGCAATACATCAACACCAAACTGTTGGCTCACTTCACAAAGTAAGTGAAGACATGATCTGAGTAGATACCAGTGGGCCTCTTGTATAAACAGTGTGGAAATACAGTGTTCCTTATTTTTAAAAGTGTCTCTCCACCTTTGAGTGCATGCGGTTTAAATACATATTTTAGTTTTCGTCATTGTTGGCCTTTTTCTTTGGCATCTCGTCTCTGCACTCCTGCCAGTGAAAAAAAGAAAAAATTGGGCTGTACTGAGTAGACCTTCCACAGATGGTGAAGTTTCCTACAGCTGAAGACAGTAGATGAGATCTGTCTTTGAATGTTAGCCCTGGTTCACACAAAATGTGATGTTGACAGTTCAAAATCGCATGACAAGTCGCACAGCATTTACAGCAATGGAACTGTTCAAATAGTTGTGACTTAAGTCGCAGCGACTTTAAAAAAAGGTTCCTATACTACTTTTCTGTGATTTCATTGCGACTTGCATTGACTTCTCTTGAAGTCGAAAGCTGCAATAAAATCAAACATCCAAATTGCACCGATCTGCAATCTTGAAATCATGCTGAAGTAGCACGATTTTAAAGCTAACTGGCTTAGAGTTAGAACCCTGTCAGGTTTTTATTGCTGTGTGTGCCCCTGCTCAGGACATTCACCCTCTGACCATTGTCATCATGGCAGAAAATATAGAGAATTCCAAAATGTGTGAACAAGGTAAATCTTCCAAAGGGACAGTCATTTCCTTTACATCACAGTTCCCCTTGCAATCACTAATCCCCCCCCCCCTCCTTAAATCACAGTCCCTCTTGCAATCACTAACCCCCCCTCTTAAATCACAGTCCCTCTTGCAATCACTAACCCCCCCCTCCCCCCTCTTAAATCACAGTCCCTCTTGCAATCACTAACCCCCCCTCCGCAATCACAGTCCCTCTTGCAATCACAGTGCCCCCCTTTATATCATACACATCATACCCCCCCTTCCTGCCTTACATCACAGCCCTTCTGCACAGCTCTAACTTAATCCAGCAGGGCAGAAGCACTCATCAGCCAGGGTGTCCTCTCCTGGGTCTCCCGCCTGGCTGCAGCCGCTCTCATCCTGGAGGCCAGCCTATCAGTGGGTGACGACCCGATTGTTCATTTGAAAAGAATCCCTCCCTGTGCCCAGATCTGTTACACCTCCCACCCACTGCCCCTCTGTGAGGATGACAGCATCTGGGCAGGGGTCCACACTTTGGCTGATAAGTGGCACAGCCATAGTCCGGACAGGACTGTCACCCAGTCAGGGTCCAGACTTTAGTCAGCCATTTAATAGTGATGCCTGCTCTAGCGGAGGAAAATTATTTTGCGTAAATTTGTGTAGTGTCTAGACATACACTAAATATTTTTTCATTATATTTGTTGTAGTCCAATTGAACAAGGTGGGCTCTGCAGCATTGGATTTATGTCATATCCTTTTTTTGTATGCAAAATCTAAAACTCTTACACAAAAAAAAACAAAAATAATTTTTAAACTTCTTATACATTATATTGTTTCAAATGTTTTTCTGGTTTATATTATGCTTGATTTAGTAGGTAATTCAGGATATCCATGTTTGCCATGGCTCCTGACAGCTTGTCTAACTACTTCAAAGGCCAGCAATCACTATCCAAGAACAATAGCTATCCCTTGAACAGAAGTAAATGATGCAGCGCTACCTAAATAATTATAAATATATAAATACTACGTGAAAAAATAAGAAATAAATCAATACACATATAAGTGATAATCATACATAATATGAAGTGAAGATAATACAAATGTGTAAAGTGAACTGATCCATTAGGGATCCAATGTGAGAGAAGTGAATTCTGATCCACTAAGGGATCTCATGTGATAGCAATAATTTATAGTGTACACGCAAGTTATCCACACAAAAAAGAAATAGTGTAAACATGATCTGATCCACTCAGGGATCCAAAGTGATAACCAGAAAGTGACAATTCCAAACAATAATACGTTTGAACTTGATAATAGTCCAAATAGGACTATAAGATGAGCACTGTCCAAATAGGACTAAGGACCGAAGGAACCACACAGATGTCAAGGAAAAACTCCTTAATTATATGAGAACCATCACTCCTCCCCCACAAATTAGGAAGAAAAAAAACAAAACAAACAAAAACACTTCTAAATAAACAAATCAAACATATAAATCATGTGACTTTAAAATAAAATGCTACGTGACAACTTAAACAGAATTTAGATGGTTCATTGTGTAGATAATTTGTTTGTACACTGTAAGTTATTGCTATCACATGAGATCCCTTAGTGGATCGGAATTAACTTCTCTCACATTGGATCCCTAATGGATCAGTTCACTTTTATTAACTTCACTTCATATTATATATGATTATCACTTATATGTGTATTGATTTATTTCTAATTTTTTCACGTAGTATTTATATATTTATAATAATTTTAGGTAGCGCTACATCATTTACTTCTGGTTATCTATCTGTCATAAGGCATTTGATTAGATGTTAGCAGCTTCCTCTTATTAGGAGTTTCTCACTTTTTAAGATATTTATTAACATTATTGAGTTAGGAGCGCAGGAGGTTCACACCATTATAATAGCTATCCCTTGACTGTGTGTGCTTTCGGACTTTTCAAGACGCAAAAGTGTGCGCACATGGAACAGTTCACATGCCAAAATGTCCACCTGCAAAATTTTATCAGCAGGGGAACTGTAATAGAGATACTGGGTGCAATAACTAAAAGCAAGTCATATACATGCACACAATCAACATATAGTCATGCAGGTACCTTTTAATCAGCATTTAAACCATTACATATTCTAAGCATGTGAAAGACCATCTGCTAAATGAACACCTGCCCTGGCACATCATAACATTCACCCGGCACTCCAAGAAATAACAGAATCCAACTGCAATATTCTTGCACTGTCAAAACCTCCACTTTTATTATCACATGACACACAGGAGGATATATCTTATAGTCCTCACAATCTGCATAACAACACACACCAATAATAATGTGAGCATTACAGCATGAAATAGACACATCATTTGACAGCGTCACAGCATAGAATGAATACATTATCAAAGCTATGTTAGAAGCTGGGAGGAACAAACCCTATCAGAACCAAACTGCCAAAATCCCAGCGTCAGAGTGTCCTCTGGCCACTATGGGGGGGCTTCTATTGGTCCCGCCCAGACGTCCGCCTTATAAACAAATTTTCTGGAAGCTGTCCAATAGTGGGCAGCGCCACACCCCTACCACAGGAGGAGCTAGCAGAAGGTTCTGCAAGGATAACAGAGTCACGTTCAACCACCAAATTCGTTATCTGAAAAGTCACACTTTTGCTTCCCATCTACCCCAAAACCTCTTCTCATCTCCCCCAGACTTAAGGATTTCTAAGCTACACGAGCAGGGCCCTTCTATTCCTTCTGTACTGAAATGTATTGTAATTGTACTGTCTCCCTTATATTGTAAAGCGCTGCGCAAACTGTTGGCGCTATATAAATCCTGTATAATAATAATGATAATAATTTCTAACGTAGACATCTTTAAACAGGTTCTTCTCTCCTAATGTGAGGTTACACAATGTCATAAACACGTTTTCATTCCATAAACAAGTTTTTAATCTTACTCTCAGCAGAATATCTTGTGACTTTGTTCCTTTGACCTAGAGAAATGACACATCAGTCACCTCTCATGCCCCTGGCATTCGGGCAACAATACTTTATTGTAAAAATTAGCCAAGAAACAAAGGGTCCAAGACCAACACATTTCATAGGCATTACAGGAACGTACATGATGTTGCGTCATATTGATGTGCAAGAAAGCTTTCTTAAATGGGGTGCAAATGCGAGCAAGTTTTTATTCACCACGTGCCAACTTTTTATATCCGACCAATGGGGTACTTCAATCTCTGTCACGCATGTATGGCCTTGGTGGGGGAACTCTCCCCGATGGGGTTCCAGATAGCTAGGACGAACTTTCAGGAGATTAAATCCTGCCCTATGCCATCCAAAACACAAACTGTTTTGAGTGGAGCCACCCTATCAGTACAAGCAGATTATATTAAAACAGGTCAAATCAATCAACTGTACTGTTTTTTTAATGGGTAGTTTTATGTATTTTCCATACTCATAAGATAGTTTAAATAATGAATTCTTGTCAGTGGAGAGCTGGTTAAAGGCCAGGGTGAGTTAAATCATAAGCTACATTTGCTAGGTGCACATTTGAGGCTCTTATCCAAGCCTTTCATGCACGCCTTCATCAGAACTACAAATAGAGCGCCGGAGCGGAGATATGGCCAAATGAAGTTGTCAGGCCGGGTTATGCAGACAGCACATTTCCCGCGTGTGTGTGTATGTGTACACATCATAAACACATTAAATTATTAGCATCGGCCCTTCACGGATAAAACCTAAAGCACCAGAACGTGGTGGGCAAATTATATTTAATATCAGTTTTTGAATCGAGCAGGACAGTTCTAGAGGGGGAAAAGGAGACCCAGGTAAATATTTAATTTTATATTTCCTGAAATACAGTAATAGTTTTTCACATCAATTATTGAATATCAAGCCTTAATGTTCATTCTAGTGCCTTTTAGGTAGCAATGGTCTCTTGCTGGCTTGGATGAAAGTCACTCTTGCTCAGGGAAGAGGCAATAATATCCAGCTTGCTGAAGTACCAAGTTACACCTAAGAGTTGAAGCTAAGTGGATATTAAACTCTAAAACACATGACCTCCTTTTAGAATGTAGTTTAGTTCTTAGATCAAGGCCAACTCTACCTTAAAGTTAACCTGTCATTAAAGAACTATTGAGGCAGCTATAATGGACCTCCTTCTAAAAATGCTAGGTGCTGGATGGTATGCTCACCAACCAACTTAGTACAATTCCGTTACTGGGGCTTTAATGAGCTTTATACACTGCTCAAAAAAAATTAAAGGAACACTTTTTAATCAGAGTATAGCATCAAGTCAATTAAACTCCTGGGATATTGGTCTGGTCAGTTCAGTAGCAGAGGGGGTTGT